AAGACAGCAGGAAAAGTGCAAATTAAGATATCCTAAATATATAACATTATGAAGTAACAAGACCATCAATTTTTGATTGACGTAAAATATCTACTCGGTAAAACGTGTAGAAATTGATAGGGTCTTTGGATTAAAGAGAAGTTTTACAGCTTCTTCCAATTTGTATGACATCTCTCTCTCTCTTTTTTTAAAAGAGTGTATTCCATTTTTCTTTCTTTGACAGAATTTTTGAAATGGTAAATCCGACGTGCGCAATATTTATGGCTGTGGCGTTTTTGCATACCTGTAGCATATCTCATGCGACAGGTTTGGCGCTTTTGAATAATAATCGTCCCAAATGACTAGGCGTAGATGACACTTTGACGAAATTTATTATGGATATTAATATGTGTGCATATATAATGTAACTTATGATATCGCTTTATTGAGGTCAATTTTATTATCGGTTATCCAGTTTCCGAGATTATCCGTTTTACAAAAAACTCACCAAATAAATCGCACGGGAGCTGAAAAATGTCAGTTTGAGCAGTATCGGTTTTTCGAGGTTTGACTGTATTGAAATAATCCATGTTTATTTGGGGCATGCTGATTGTTAGATTTGTTTTATTTTAAATAATGTTATTCAACTATGTTTATTATGTTGGTGTTGATTTTTTCCAAAAGTAGCAGTAGGTAAACTGGTGCTATTCGTATAATCATTCGCAGCGAATGCTTAATTAGACGCGAGTTTCTGCACATCAGTTATTATTGGTTAGGAATTTCTAGAAAGGTTTCCAATTCTGTACACGTTATGGATACTGCTTATGTGTAAAGCAAGTTGGCAAGAAACTGCTTGGGTTAGATGGCTTTGTGGTATGGGCAGGGGGAAAGTATCAAGAGGAAAGAAAGACACTGGAGCAGTACAATAAAGGAAAGAAAGAAGTGGGGTGATGCTCTTGCTTGAAGTTAGCACCCATACGGCTTTATGTACATAGGGTAGAGTAGACATAGTAACTTATATTATAGACTTTGCAGAGAACAATTGGAACAGCCAGGTAACAATTTGTAAATCAAGTATATTAGACATAGTAATATGGGTTTAATGCTATCTGTTATTCCAATACCTTTTATTGGAAAGTAGCTAAAGAATTGTTCTTGCAGAAGGTATCCTTATCATCAAGAAGCATTGCTCACTGACAGATGTCAAAGTCGAATGCTCAGCTCCCCTCTTGCATGTAGCATGGCATCATGCTCTATCACACCATTGGACCCTCTAAATATCTAAATCTCCTTAATAAGCAATTCTCATATGACAGACTGGCTATACAATTGTCTAATTTTACTTGCGATGCTATGAGAATATTATAAGCTGTCATTGAAATCAGTGATAACAGAATACTGTACTGACATATTGTTAGTTAATATGGAGCTCTCAACATTTTAAAGTCATCTTACATTAATTGTTGAGACAACTCACTACAACAGACGTACGTTTTTCCTTCTTTACACGCCATCTTAGATTTAGGGGGGAAAATATCAGAAATAAACAGGTTCTATTCCGACTGTTTTAAAATTAAATTAACAATCGAACCTTTTATAGCGGTATGTTCACCTAATAATTTGCTGCAATAAGCTTCAACAAGAGCAAGGCGTACTTAACGTATTTGGTGTATCACCAACAAGTGAAGCAATGACACAATATAAATCAAGCTTTGTAGATAGACCTATTATTATAATGTGTTTTTTATAAACATCGAAGATTTGAACTTGAAATATTTATATTGTGGCTTATTATTGATTTAGCTGTAAAAATATTGCACATCGTTAACTATTTCCTGATTCTTAAAATACAAAAAGTAACTAGAATTCGATTAATTTGCTAAAAAAGTATTTTTAGCAGACATTTCTGATATCTTTATCAGCCCTAGGCCAATTTTAAACAAATAAGCCAAAGGGTATAATTGCATTTATTAGAATTCGCCATTCAAAGTTTATCATTATATACTATGGTTCCAGCATTTTAATTTCATTTTGTTGGTATCACGTTGTATTAATTCGGTTTGTTTAAATTTCGGTTCTTTCATTAAAGCTTGCAATTTCATCGGTGCTTCATGATCTCATATAATTTTGCTACAAGAAGACAGCTTTGTTTAACAAAGGAGATTAACTTTAACTTTACTACCTAATAACGCAAATTTGTTAATTATTCAAAGTTGTTAATTTGTAACCTCTTTTTTCTGGTGAAGAAATGTTTTCCTTTTATTTCCAAAATAGTATTTGGCAACTAAATTGGCAAAAAATCACTTGATTTACTTTACAGGAATAACGTGATCTACGGTTTGAGGATTGCAATTATATTCTAATTTAAGTCGTTCGTCCTGCATACTTCTAAAAAAGTTTATATAAAAAAATATATTTGAAGCATGGTGGTAGCTTCTCAGTATTGAAGAGAAGCCCATAAGACCGTAAGCTTTTGTTCTAACCAGCGGCCGATTCCTATCGGACAATGAGCATACTAAATGTTTATTGGAATTCTTGTCAAAGATAGAATAAAGGTTTATTGACACTGATTTCACCCCATTGGAAACTGATAAGTTGTTGTATCTTTTCATCGAATCTATAACTGTCGGGTGGTATGAGACGCTTACAAATATTAGATTATCACTTTCCGATATTTGTACGACTTTATTGACAAACACCCTTTCCTGCCGAAATTTGTTGGGTTTCATGGATCGTACAACAAGAGTTTTGATGAAACGGATGTACTGATAAAGAATCAAACCTAATTGCACTTGTGTCCAATGTCCATTGATTATTAATTGATATGCCTAAAATTTACATCCCCAACAGTGTATCAGTCCCGTATCAATCCGCAACCTCAAGATCAAAAATTACAGCATGAGAAATGTTTGTAATATAGATTTAATTAGGCTTGTGTGAAATCGAGCACACTATCTTAACTTATGTGTTCTTTACAAGAGAGAATGAATCCTTCACTCTCATAGTCTTCCATTCAGCAAATTAGTGTTCCAAACATAAACGCATGCGATGCATTACCATGTTGAATCATTTCTTCCACATCGAATTATTTTTCAGATAGTATTCAATTTATGCCAACAATATTGTGAGAGATGATGAACTTACTCGCATTATGGTCTCTAAGATTCATAACGTATCATTAGTGGCGTACTATATATTAATACACTGTCGCTACTCCCAAGTAGCTCTATGACACACTGTATTTATTAGAAAAAAACAATAAAAACCAGCAAACTGTTGTAACTTTATCCAGCAGGGCAAGTGTCTGATGTTAAGATTGAGATTTCAAATAGCAAGATTGATATATGGTCAAAATGCGGTAGATATAGTTGCATAATTTATTAAATGTCGTTTTGAAAGATAAACGCTATTTCTTTTGAATACGCGAAAGCTTACAAAAAACTGGATTCGAACAAGCAAACATTACAAGTTTTGCCCTCTCCAGAAGGTCTCACTGCAACAGACATGCATAATTGCGCAGAGACTCAAAGCACACGAACATCACCAATACCCGGGTTCCAGTAAGTAATACATTCTTCAGTCATCTCCTCAAACCTCTATAAGTCAGACAGATATCCCTCAACAACTCTCCTCACCAGATCGTGGTCATGCAAAACATGCAGAAATAACACATAATACACATACACGACAGGTCCTTGACATTTTCGTAGACATTCATCACACATGATAATCAGATTCTTTTGCAAAATGTTTTCATCGCGTATTTCGAAGAGATGTTAATATGCGCAAACCTGGAGTCACACTTTAACGAGCTTACAAGGCGCAGGCCCAATTTTTATGAATCAGCTGATAGAACAAGGAAGAAGAAAAAAGACTTACCGCACAAAGATCACGCGCATGATTCCAATGAAACAAGTAGGATTGTTTACAGGATGTATAAAGAGCAAAGATCAGATACTGACACGCATGGAAAAGGAGGCCTCCCGAGTTGACAGGTTGGGTTTCGAGTATAACGCATGGAAGGTATTTTGTGAAAATTCTTTATGTTCTCTATAACAATCACCATTTACAATGCATCATTGTTATAGCTCGGCTGAGGAGCAAACGTTTGTTGCAAATCAATATTAATATGGATATTATAAGCGAATTATAAATAGACAGTACAAAGAAATTAATTGTTGTACGGATTCAGGGCGAATGTGTTTGGTGACCTGTTGCACGAAATGTTCCACTAAATGGGCTGTGGCCCACCCCCTCAGATATCACATCTTACTAGCCGTAACGGTAAATCTATTACTAATAACACAAGCCACAAAAAGCTTAGATCTGATATATCCGTAGTGGTAATCGATTTAGGTTTGCATTTAATTATAATATTAATATTGATCCTTGCGCTAACCCATTTTTTAATATCTAGAATCTAGATTTCGTATTCCAAAAATTGACAACAAAACCCCCCCTTCCCCTTCCCCTTCCCCTTAGTTCTCCCCCCCCCCCCCCTGTACATCATTCTCCAACCAACACATGTAAATTTTTTTGAATGAATTTTTTTTTTATTTCGCAAGAGAGAAAAACCGCAGTGTCATACACGCCTATCTCTTTCCATAATAATGAATCACCGAAATTTCCAACCGATTTACCAATGTTTTCGTGAACAAAAAGGATTGCGACTATATCATTCGTTAATCAAAACCGTATTAAACATTAAATTACAAGCTTCTATACGAATTAATCTAAATATCAACCAATCCCCGGCGAGCAACGTTTCCAGTTGTTATCTCGTCTAAGTAAAGACACGATGGTTTCACGATAGACATAGGTTCATTATTGTTGCACCTCTTTGATAATGATGGATTTTTACAATACCTTATAATCTCACAGAATCATTTACAAGAAAGAGATATAATATGTGACCGTCGCCGGGAAAAGAAATTGTAGTAAAACAAAAGAAAAGAAAAAGAAAGAATAGAAATAGAAAGAAAAGAAAAATGATCTTGTCAAAAAAAAGGACATTGAGCATTTTACTTAACAAAGACACGGATACAATCATCCTGAGAACCGCGCTGAGCGACGGGCATGATCAAAGGCGTATGGGCAAAGCTGGCAGACATTGTGCAAATTCTCTTCAGTCCAGGTTTAAGACCCGGGTTAACTTGCACTGTTAAGACACCATTGACGGCTGGTTCATTCAAACCCTTGAAGAAATCGAATATTTGAGGATTCGGAGGCTGATTACCTGTCAATGACTGGATGGTAATGTGGGAGTGACCCTTGATAGTGCCTTGCTTGTTCAACTGTTGGGCGAACGTGTAGTATTGATTATCAGGATTGTCAAAGTTACCCGTCTCAAGACCGGTAACCTTTACGTTTACGTTGAATACTTGGCCGGCCTTGATTACTTGACCGTTCTTTGGGCTAGTAATAATCGACGAGGTCATTTGAGTAACATCAGGAATCTCTCCTAACTGAGTACTGGAACAAGTACGACCACCAGCTCCGGGGGTTTTGTCTTGCGTTCCATCGGATTTTGTGAGCTTTGATTGATTGCAGATTACAGGGGTTGGTGGACCGGAGAGCGTATTTTGGTTAAAGACATTGATATCGGTAGCAGCAGCGGCCTATAATTTTCGTTACATGATGATTAGCTCGTAAACAAAAAGTGATTCAAATAGATCAAAATCGCTGAAACAAGAAATCGATTCATCAACTCACTCTCTTGTTCAATTTCCTGAGAGCCTTGGTATCCCTTCTAAGTTTTCTTAATCTTTGTCTTTCCTTCTGAAGACTATTAACTTCAGCAGCTTCGGGTATAGGTGTAGCGAATACAGCAACGCACAACGTTGCTAGCAGGAAAACCACCGCAAGATTGAATTTCATTTCGAATGAAAAGTGGTTTGAAGAAGACGGAGTGTCAAAGGGAGAGAGGAATGAATGTAATTGTAAATGAGATCAGGACTATGAAAAGTAGGTAATGTATTCTCCAGTCAGATCAATTGCACCTGGCAATTCGACTCGAGCTTGCGATATGAGATTGGGAGGTGGAAAGGGATGGTAGTTCTTTTGGTGAACTAAACACACTTGTTTTGTTGTGAAAAAGACGGGAAGGAGGAGGTGTATATATACCAACTGGGTCTGACATATTAGGAAAGGGACATCGCAATTATCACATCGAATTCCGAAACACGGAGAGTTAATTAGCGGTTAATTGCTTATAAAGTTGGCTAATTAAACAAATGTCCGTATTTGAGAGCCTATTACGCAAACGGTAATTGTGATTGGGAACACCAAATAAGATTCTAACCAAGCTTTGCTGCAGGGTAATAATATAATATTGAAATATTAATGAATTGTCTTATCTGTGTACTAATTATGTGATGCTGTTCAACGTAGATCATGAGGTAACACACGATACCGCCTGCAAGATTAGTAAGTAATGAAGGTCTGTAGTAATAGCTAGCGTTGAATGTTATTGAACATTCTAGAGAAGGCAAATATTGGGCCAACATATTGGGCCAACATTATAGCAATAGATAATAGATAATAGAGAGAGTCATAACAATAGTCAATCGACTAGACAACAGAAGCAGTTCCTCATGAATACCCACGGATAAGACAATATCGAGGTAATAATAACACCGAGAGCGTAATTTATTATATTCATATCCATATCCAGTAAATACAAACCAGACGAATACAAACAAGGCAGTGAGAGACAGTTTGTCGATTTTGCGCATAAGAGACAAGGACTAACTTATAATGTATTTGTGTAATCACAATACTTGCTTAACTCGGCACATGACTGTCATGACTGTCTAATATTTTACAATTATAGACAAGTCTTTTTTTCCTTTTTCTTTTCTCTTTTGCTTCAGATATTACAAAGATAACAGTGCTTGTAATTAGTAAATCACGTAATTGTACTTATTACCAGCATAGCTTACTGACGTATTATAATAAGCCATCGTGAGGTCAATTAATATTGGTAGAGATAAATTTGCTAGTGGTTATTAGTTATATACGGTATTCCAAATACAAATTGCAATTGACGTTACATGTCCTAAAATTTAGCGATTTTACCCAAAATGGATTCAAACATTAGCAGGGACCAATGGATACAGCAGGTGTTCCGACAAGTATTTCCCCTAAATGACTTTCCCCACTGCAAATGAGCATCGTTTTTTACCATTGCAGCGGACAATACTGTAGCATCTCAGCTCCTTTGCCAATCATCCCATAATAGTCTGATATTAAAAAAGTGTTTTCAAAAAGTTTTTAATTACCGGAGACCCATATGGAGGGAGGCATGCCATTCACCGATCCTTTCATCGATTAAAGAGCGGCAATAAAAGCGGATTTATTGACATAAAGCGGCCCTATGCTATCGGGTTCTGTCGGGTAAAGTCGGTAATTCTTGCAATCGTGAATGAGTGATGTCATTCAAAAATGCGTTTGTAATCGCAACGTTTCAAACATCCCCTCGAATATCATTACCCTTAAAATCTTTGTGTTCCTTCGAAAATGCCAAGCATGCTCTGTATGCTCGTGTCTAAAGTTTTATTAAACAATGAACCGCGGGATCATCATTGTATCAAACAAATGTATATACATAATATACATTGTAATGTAATGCTACTTTGCTACGAATCCCCTTATACTACAGGGGGTAATAATGTGGAATAGTACGATTGCATATAATGAACAATGTGACTCTTATCTACTGAAAACCTTATACTATTTATAATACGCTTTCTTTTTTCAAGAGAGAGGCTTGCATGCAGAGTTTCATCGGTCATTGTCTGTAGTCACATGAAAGTGGTTACGCTACGTTCACATCTAATCCTTATTCACGCGTGTGAAGGGGACTTCCATGCCCATATCGACAAGGGTAACATCTTTTTTTTGAAACGTGTTTCATCATCATGGCTCAAGAAAGTTGCTAGGCTCAGACTCGTTAGTTCGACACGATGACGTCGAACACTACCATATAGGGAGCTCACCTCTGTATTTGTAAGCATTCTGTTTATTGGAGATCGAGCGCGATACACGTTAGCTCGCATTGAATGTTTACATCGTACATGCTATACATAGCTTCACCTTGAACGTAAAACCCGATAGAATCATCAAAGCCCCACCCCTTCGTTTGATGCAATCTTTTCTTGCAACTAGAATATCTGACAAAGCTTCTCACCCCTTTTCTTGCATGGTGTAAACTTTATTAAAAATTCTGAGATTAGATTACGATCTGTTCAGCACACGTGTGAATATCAAAGCAATTCTATCTAATAAATCATCGAAATCAACATCATTCACGTTTGGCGTGCATACAACTTGCAATAGCGAAGAATTTCGTAGTTTTCTGTAGATACTGAAGTACGTTCTCAGTATTATCGTCGCACAGTTAACGTAGGATTTAAGGACTTGTTACTTGTGTCAAATTTATTCAAGATGCGTCTTTTTAGCATATCAACGTATACACCGTCTAGAGAGAAACATGCTATTTTGTCTTAAACGTTTGCGAACCCGTCTTCTATAAACTCTACTGATTGTGGCTGCGGTCAATGGCCATTTCAATCACATGATGTACAATAAATGCTGACATTAACGGTCAACAAAAGTTTTTCCAACGAATTCTCTGCTCATTTTGACCTTGCCATCTTGTTTCTTTATCAGAGATTTACCTATACTTTCGACTAGTTATCTGTACCCGCGATTGAAATACGATCCTTGTCACCAACAACTTTTTCGTACTTTCTACATGGATTCGGCTTACTATGGTAATTACATTCGATTAACTAAAGCGAGTGAGGGTTCTAATCAATACTCACGCGTGACAATTTGAAACTCGAGCGATAGCATAGTTATGTCAAAGAAAAACTTTCGGTTATCAAGATAACGGCATTTTATTTACTGCTGTACTGTTAATTCTATTGCCTAATTTGCAAATTATTGGACATATTTCATATCATTCATTAGGAACGCAACTAGGAATCTACAACAGCAAATCTACAAGAACAACGACCTCATCTCGGTTACATGTTAGAAAAAGACGACACAAAATATCCGATCCACCATCCTATTATCTCACACCCGCATCGGGGGCTCTCAAACTACTTGGTTAAAATGCAGGCTTGTCGAATTGTCATCTCAAGTCGACCAACTACAAGTGGATAGTTGCAAAAAAACCCCAACCGACTGGTTTCTAATCTATGCTCCCGAGATTGCAACAAGCGGAGCGGGCCTTGCCCTAATCACAACCTTGTCTTCATACGATGATGCGATCTTGAATATTCGTACCTCAACGGACAGCAGTACGAGCGATGTCACCCTGTCTACGCGAGGGGTAAACCATCGTACGTGCAAGTTTCCATAAAATTTAATTAGCTTGACTATTGAAGATTCTTTACAATTGGATAGCAAATCAGCAAATCGACTCTTAATACTAACCAACCAATAATCGCTTTTTCCATCTTAGGTATTCCCGATATATTTCTTCTATTATAACTATTGGAGAGACCAGGTGTGCAACCCCGAGGAGAAAATAGGCAAGTCCGTTGATCGTACGATTTGCATTTTAATTAAATTGCAGAACCTTTTGCTGTTCGAGAAATATATTAATGGCGTAACCACCAATTTGCAGACGTGCAGATGACAACCCAAAAAATAAAATAAAATAAAACCGGTTTGAGCTCCATTGGATAAGAATAGAGAACGGAATTTCTTGCCAAGACGAAAATTAATCTCGGATTTGTCGCAGCAAAAAACCATTGCATGTCAGTTTCGTGAATAGAGAACGGAATTTCTTGCCAAGACGAAAATTAATCTCGGATTTGTCGCAGCAAAACCATTGCATGTCAGTTTCGTACCCCTCCCCCTTTCTCCATTACCAGTGTGGAGAATGGCCGGCCGGACATCCACGGACTCGTTTGGAAACCGCCTAGGGTAATGCTAAATGCCGGCGATTTCAGGTAGCACACGCCTCTTCATGTTACATGCAATCCCAATCTGCGTTAATATGAAAATGTTTGGCCTTGCCTTCAACCCTCGATGAGTAAAATCCCTTGGATAACCTTCAAGCAAGTAACTTTGCATATCGGTCGATTGCACCCACCATCTGCTGTTTGTCCTCTCCCCCCTCCCCCCCTCTCCTGTGGTCAACGGGAGTTGGTCAACGTTAACCCGCCTATTACTATTACTACGGGGCTCAATCAATTCATGCCAAATGAGTTGCATCATCTGTCAAGCGCATAAATCGGTCGTATCCTGTATCTCACTAAAATATTAGCTCCGCTATGTGGCTATATGCTCTCATACTCAGTCTCTGTCAAACTCGTGCTAAAAATACTCTTCAAGGTTGGGTTTCTCCCTCTAAATATTTATCCAATTTCCGGTGCAGCTCCTTTTCGCTTGCATGATGCATGTCGTGTGTATATATGGATTGCATCGAATAAGACAATTTGTGTTTCACTTCCTCTCTGCAAACTTGCAGCATATTTCTGTTCTCGCATACAAATAATCTCGATTGATCATCAGTCACACGACAATGGTTTTTTTTTTACCGAATTTGGCATCATTAAGCACAGATCACATGGAAGCGGAAAGGTCTCGAGCGAAACTCATGTGCAAGCACCTAAGCGGCTCATCAGAAAAACGATCGCAGCGGTTATTGAGGTATTTGCAATCGAAGATTTTTATACTGCCTTTGATTCCCAGTTTATGATTGATTAAATCCTTCTCGCTCACGTTATTTTTAATAGTTGTACGGATTACAATTTGCAAGAGAAGACGTCCGATCAGAGATCGCAACAGACGTCATGAGAGAGTTTCGATAAGTCAAATAAAGTCATGAAGACTATCCTTTTTGGAAAAGTTCATTATCTCATTTTTATTGTTTCTAAGCGTGAATAGACATCTTTATGCAGCTGTATCGTCATCGCTAAAAGGTATATTGAATAAGAAAAAAAAATAATCTTTTGGCAGATCTGTTATTCTACATTAGAAGGGGGAAGGAAAACAAGAAGAAATCTGTATATCAAATTAACCATCAAACAAGTTTATATATACTCTCGATTCAAACAAGTGTGTAAAGACCAAAATCCGTAATAAGGAAGAAAAGAGAAAAGACTCTGCCACGTGAAAGACCTTTTCCGACAACCGACCACCCTATAATATATTCTCTCTTTTTTTTTCTTCTGTCTAAGCTTGCTAATCCCTACGAAATATTATTCATCATTTTGCCGTTGTGGTGGTTTTTCCTGCCGTGGTTGTCTTTCCGGCCTTGCTCGGCGTAGATTTCTTTGGCGTTGGCTGAGATGGTTGTCCAGGCTTCTCGCCCTTCTTCTTCGGCAATAGTTCGATATGGATGTTTGGTAACACGCCACCCTCAGCGATGTGGACGTTCCTTAAGAGAATATTCAATTCTTCGTCGTTTCGTATGGCTAATTGAAGATGTCGAGGGATGATTCTTTGTTTTTTGTTGTCGCGCGCAGCATTGCCGGCAAGTTCGAGAACTTCGGCAGTGAGATATTCTATGACAGCGGCAAGATATACTGGTGCACCTGCACCTACACGGTCAGCATAGCGACCCTTTTTCAGTAAGCGTCCCATACGACCTACTGGAAATGTGAGACCTTTGGGGGAGAAAAAGTTGAAACGGGATTAAGTCGGTTGTCGGCAATCAATCGTTTGTAAAAGTATGATACATGGATAATGACAAGAATAATACTAACCTGCTTTCACGCTCTTTGACATCTTTTGGCTGCCTCCTGTACCGGCTTTTCCACCTTTACCTCGTTTAGACTATTATGTCGATACATTGGATGAAGTTCATTGCCTTAGTTAAAATATAAAAAATACGCACAACTCTCGCTGTTGAGTCATCTGCTTGGGACAGCGTAAAACTGTCACCTATTCTTGCTACTCAAACTCGAGTATAGACTTACCCTAATTTTACCACCCGTTGGCTCTGGCTCAGCTGTCGGTCCCGTCTGGTCCTTTTCGGGTCGGCCACGAGGACGATTCTGCGAGTCTTTATCTTGTGAAGACATTTTTTGTTATGTGAATAGTAATAAGTGTCTCGGTGATAGCGACAAAACTTTCAAAGGAAAACTTGACTAGTGCTGATGAGAAGAGAAGTGTGTCAATGAGAAGGGTGAAAAGTGAAGAATATTAAACTTTGATAAAATTTTTGGTCCTTTTATAGGATAGAGTAGTAGGATTATCGGTCTCAGATGACAACTCGGTGTTTTGTGTCTTGATATGTTACCATGATTCCCTTTTTGAGAGTTGGGTGTTTTTTGTTGTGGGCCGCCGCATATGTGCGCGTGATCTAAAAATAATAATAAAGACTCTTTACTGACGCGCCCACCCGTTTCTATACGTGACGCGTTGTTCCATCAAGATTTCAGGTTGGTTCCCGCTTTTAAATGCTTTGTGTATGTATTTATACTGCGTTTGATTAAGTACAATGGAACGTTATTATTATTATTATGCTACATAAGCATACTAGCTGTTCAGTACGTATCGCTGGCATTAATACAGCTGTCACAACCTTACATTATAAAAACTCGATATATCAAAGACTCTCTGAACAGAACGAAACTTTAATAGTTGCACCCGCTGTAGGGAAAGAATCTGACTAATGAACGGCTTGTTTGAAAAGCCTACTATTGTATCGCGACTTAACAACCGTTCAACAGCCTCAGCCTCCTGCTTTGTGTCAGCCACAGTTGCTATAGCGCCTTAGCGCCTTTCGAAAAGCGTCGATTTCGATGCGTGGCTTGGCTGAATAAATAATACTAATACCAATATACTGTATAATTGAATGTTTTAAATTAAGCAATAAACGGAAAGAAAAGGTTTAATACAAGAAACAAATGCTGACCTTTCTGTGCGTTGGTTTTTTTCTCTCTCTTTTCATATCATTCATAATTTCTGTAATGATACAAAATACGTGTTGGATCGATTTCTCTTGCGGAAGATGAGCTCTATGGATTGTCACTGCGAAGTGACACAAACTGAATTTGTTGCTATACCAATGGATATGCGATTGAAGGCTGATATTCAACTGCGTTATTGAAAGAGAACTTTAAAATGTTACTGATAAAGAACCAGACCGTTGTAAAGACTGCAAATTGCACTATCGACGCGGAAAGACTGCTCTTGTCTAATCCCATACTTTTGAGCTTCTTATGGCAAAATTACCTACCTCTGTTCAAGTAATTGTATACTTTTTGCTCAATTCTCATTGCATATTCCACGTTGCCATTAGCAGAAACTTCGATTCCGCTCACCTTGTGCTCACGACAAACTTTTTCTAAACAGAGAGTCACTTTCAGAAAAGCCTTTGTTTTAAAAGATGGCCAAGAAACTTCTTGGTCTTGCCAACAGTTTTAAACAATAACCCACACCCAATAAATTCCTACTGCTTTCTCTCGTTTTATGAAACCATCGATCACAATAAAGCCACTCACATCCATTGATTTCTTTAATCAATTGCCAGTTTGCTCCGAATTCATTGCAAAGCCATTACATACAATTGAGTCCCTATTCATCAAGGATACCTACATCTCTAGGGGTAACGGTTTGGACGGTGGTACAAATGCAGCAGAATATTAATATGCCCAGTCATGATCATGCTTAGGTCATAAAATACAAGCGACCTTGCTATGCTTCCCGCCTCAATAAAGGCGTATCTGTCTTTTGCGACTCTACATGCTCTACTATCGTATATAAATACTGTATATACGCTCATCACTCTATATGCTAATCATTCATTTTAATTATTTAAATTTAGAACACTTCGTTGCACCAAACGTCCCCACTGATTTCAAAGTTACAGTATTTAAACCTTAACCCTTAATAGGTACTTCTAAATCAGGGCTATATAGTTCTTCCGTCAGAAGCAGGAGACATGAAGTTCGAAATCGACTCAAGATTGCGGAGCACATCACAATTTGTAGAATTTGAGCTGATAGCATAGGTTTTGGACGTCTTCCTTTTTTTCTTCGGGAGGTCTCCTAGCATTTACTTTTTGACGATTGGAGGCACTCCTTTTTGTACCCAATTTATACAATAATCGTCTTATTCATGATTGGTTTGTGCTATATGACACACTCTAACTAATGTTCCTTCCTTCCACAGAATCATGCAGTGATATAGTATGTCGATTTTATCATCCAACTGACCAACATAAAAGTCTCACAAACGGTAGTGACAATATATTCTTATTAATATTTGAGATGTCCAGTGTAAGTACTGAAGGGCTTGAATATTATCAGAATAAATATTTGGACAGATTCCATTCGACAAGACATTAGAGATCGTTGTTGATGTGATTTCCAATCGCAAGTCTGTCCCCATCAGTCGTTCTATATCAAATTAATCGATCCAATGTAAGAATATTCTGCAAATTGAATTTTTGGTAAGCAAGTCAAATCAATTTTTTTTTAATCCATAAAAATGCTCGATTTACAAAGTTTATATCCTCTATTATGCTGTTATGACTTACATTTGACTAACAAGCAAACAAAGAGTTATTATCAAACGCGCCAATATTGTTACAAGTAACATATCTTATTTAAAAGTCCAATAGTTCCATCAACAGTGCTTTACAAAGAATGCTTACTTTTATAACAAATTTTTGGATAAGACACAATCTACTCACCAGACATGGAGATATTCTAAAGCAATCGTACAAGGAAAAACCCGACTAATTTACTTGGCAAAGAAAGGTCATCTACGGCTTTCACGATAAAATTCATACCTACTACTAGAAACAACTTAAAGGAAGAAAAAAAATAATTAATGTTAAAGGTGATTTCAGCACCGGAAAAAATAACAAATTTTGAATTTTCGCATAGCGGCAATCAAAGGGCAGACAATGACAATAAATCCGAGTTTTTGTAATCATTCGTTCACTTTTCTATAGTACGGACAATAAAACAAAAAAGCCGAATTTTTGTTACGTTATTTTGACGCTTTGAATGTTTGAACTACGGCGAAAAATTCTTACGACTGCTTGGTAATATTAACCCGTACTGCGGTATCATTTGTGCTTAGAGCGTATTGTCATGCCAATAATTAAGCCAAACAAAAGGCAATACCGCGCAAACTAAAAAATTATTTTTTTGACCAAATAATATCAATGCTGATATTGCTTTTAGTCAACTTGATTCTATAATTTTGTGCCTAAAAGCAGGAGATTATAAAAATGCGGGTAAGACAAACATATTAACACAGTTCGGCCCTTACAGTAATAGGAAAAGTTTTACTTTTCGAATTTTCTTGGAAAAGAGCATTTATCATTACAGATTGCATGCATCTTGTTCTTGTGCACCACACGATGATTTGCTTTAATTATACAGTATTGTTCTCCCAGTTTGATCACCACATGAACTTGGACATTTTCATATGGGGAAATATGTCGATAAATAAAGATGAGCAAATAATTTGTTACTACAATCCGAATTCAACGAGGCGTCCAATTGTTGCAACGTTCGATTCCAAAAACATTGACGACAATCAAGAAACACTATTTTTGTCGTTTAAATTGCCTTGAATAAACCTTATTTGTAAATAAAAATATTTCAATCATCCTCTTCCCTCTACTTAGATGGGACAATGTTAATATGTGTCATTTTGAAAAGCACAGAAACTCGTTTATGAAAAATCTCTTGTTCTGTATGTTAGCAATATTCGATATACTGAAGGCGACCTATTGTATTATCGAAATGGTTCCGTATAGTATCATTGATAAAGAGAAAGTAAAAAATGACCCTTAAAAAATATTGAATCCGTTAAAGTACACTCGCTTTCGATTTACAGAATCTAGAAATCTCTATAAAATATATTTTTTTACTTAACTTGCTGCATGTTTATCAGATGATTAATTTGATGCAATATACAAAATATGAGACAAAATTATCCTCCCATAAACTTTAAATCATCAGACTAAGAAGTAATAGAAACGAGCCAACCTCCAGATTGAAACATCTATACTTGTAAACTTATTAAGCATTAAACCGATCGCTTGCCTAATTGTTGCGACCGAAAACAAACTAGCACAATAATGGTTCTTCTTTATTATCCACTAGTCAACCGCCGTGTCAGAATTTTAGTCGCCTTGTGGCTCGGCCGAGTATAGGACTTTGCCTGTTTTATCGACAACTTTTAGGAAAAACCTTGGATGCAGAACGCCGCCTCTGCCAGTTGTGAGGATTACATTATTGGCTGCCTTGTAGAATTCTATCCCGTCTGTTTGATAGTATATACTGTTAGGAAAGAGATCTAAAGAATAAAATAATCGAAACTGCTTATACAGACCGGAAATAGCCTTATGGACATTAATGTAAATAAATATACTAGAGTCTGTTCGCATCCCTGTTATTGGGCAACGTTTTAGATACTAAAGATCTGGCTAACATCAATTGATGAATAACTCACCGCTTACGGCATTTCCAGCTCCACAAAAGTGGATATGGTTACGATACATTCGTAAAAGGCCCTTTGATTCTAACGATAAAAAAATTTGACTATATTGTATAAATGCTACAAGTTATAACGCATAATAAGATTTCGGGAATAGTACTCTACTTATGCTCTGCCAATTCCTCGAGTGAGTTTCATGAAATATGTTTGAAATCTGCGCCGGATCTGTAATATTTTCAAGTTTTAGGTCTTTAACCTAGAGAAAAGTAATGTACCCATTTATTACTTGACAAAGACAAGAAAGAAAAAAACGAACGAACCAACAAACCACAAAGCTCAAATAGTACCTCGAAAGAATGTCCTTGGTTTGCTCGTACCCACCACATAGCCGTTCCTGTATTATGATCAACCTCCTTGATAAGGTTAAACCTCTGCTTGGCGTCGTTTTTTATAATATTTTTAATCTTTCCCAACGAGATTGACTCAAATTGGCTTAATTTCATCTGAATTGACCTCGCTTCAGTTATTTGTTCTTACATATAAACAACAACTACTGTGCTGCTCTGTTGCTCACCAATTCATCTAATCGTGCATACCCATCAGATCGTATAGTTATCCCTTCCTTCCTTGCACCATGTCTGAGTATGTAACTTATGAATTTCGAGAGGCGCACATTTTGATCCTCTGATGATGATCGGGAGGATGCCTTTGATGAGAGGAAAATTTTGGGAGTGGCCGAATAGGTATTGTAGGGTAAGCAGGTTTTATAACATTTTTTGAAGAGAGTCGGTACGATGACACTACCAAATGTCGATTGTCTATGCGTCATAGTTTCATCAGATTGTGTCCATTCATCATTCTCGTCATAAATCAAATATTTCAGGGGTTAATTTGAATACCTTTGATGAGTTTCTTGTATACTATCGGCTCTAAACTTTTGGAACCGGGCTCGGTATACGCATTACTCAAATCGATGTCCAGCAAGTCATTTTTATTATTGCCCTCTCGTCGATCATAGTGTCCTTTCTGGCGGAAGCAGGGGGTGGCAATGCCTTTCTTTCGAATTGCCGTCAATGGTAAGATGACTCCAGCGTAGGCATTAAAAACTTGCCATGTTGCAAATTTCCAATATTAGCCAACATTTTCGCACGGTTGGTAAACAATGCAATATTAATATTAATAATTAAATCTCTATTTGCTATTTATTTTACTGATTGTTATTTTTAATTATAGTAAGTATCTTATATTATTTTGATTATCAATGACAAA